ACTGGTGACCAAGTGTTCAAAGGCTGGAGACTATGGAGGGGGACACTCAAGTCACCACAACGGGGATGTGAGTTGCCATGAGCATGTTTACTTGTTGCACTCAGAGTCCCAGCCTAAGAGGAACACTCAGGAACTGATGGCAGGAGCTGTGGCTGGGGGCCTCGGTGCTGCTTCAGTCCTGAAACCCTCCTCCTGTGGAGTGTTCTCCCGACTCGCACGGGAATCTTTCTTAGCAATTTTAAAAAGGAATCTCGTGTTCCCAGGTTCTTTCCTGTGACCACCTCTGTTGTTCCTCTCCGCAGTTTCCCTTGGTGTGTAACGACACGGTACGACACAGTAACTTTCAGTGCCACTGTGCCTATAGCCCAGTCATGTCTCTTTCCATGAGAATAAAAGTACCATAGGCTAAACCCACTTTCTTTCTTTCTTAAGTTTGTTTATTCTCCCATATCCTAACAACTCATCCAAGTCAGGAACCTGGGAATCTTCATTACTTCCCTTAGCTGACATCCAAGTGCCCACCACAGTCGGACCCCATGCTGGCCACTGCAGATGTCCTATTTGTGAATGTACAGGGTCTGTCTCACTGGCTGCCTGTAGGAGTGATGTGGATTAGTCCCAGGGTCCCGATGATTGGCAGGACCTCCCTGGGGAAGGGCATTAGAACTATGAACTAAAGGGTGATTAGATGCTCATTGGGCAAACGGGTGGGGGCAGGCTAGGCAGAGGGTGGGTATGCTCAAAGGCTCTGTGCTGAGGAGGAAACTGCTGAAGAAATAAGAAGGAGGCAGGGCCTGGTGCCAGATGAGGCCAGGTTAGGTGGCGCACATCAGAGACAGCCGCGTTGGTTGGCGCCTTGGTGCATTCTAATGCCCTCTTCTACCAGAGTCTGTCTTGAACCCTCTCACAATAATTCATTTCCACCTATGAGGCCATCCATATTGTTTTTAAATCTATCAACAAGGCAGATAGTGTCCTGCCCCCTTCAAATTCATCTTATAAGCGGTATGCTAACATGTGAGGCAGATTAAGATGTTCTTCTGGCTAAGCTCCTCCCCCGGTCCCTCATTGTCAGGATGGAGTCAAGCCCAGAGACCTTTCTTGTTAGTTCCCTCAAACCCCCACCCCCACCCCCATTCTTTGCTGCAACTTTCTCAAATGGCTCCCAGTGCCCCTGAGGTGCTGGGTGGATGTGCTCTGGAGCCCAGGCGATGTCTTGTTCATCTCACGCTTTCCTGCGAGGGGTTCTTACTCTAGGAAGCCATCTCCCCCAGTTCAGGCCATCTGCTGCCCATCTCAGATACCCTTCTCAGCCAGCCACTCACATAGCCAGCCACATTCTGCCTCTCCCTTATAGGCATACACCTGGCTAGACTGAGAACTATTTGAGAAGAGGCATACTGGCCCCTTTGTCGCCACCCTTTTTGGTGCCTCTGGGCTAACATATATTAGCATTTAATAAATGCATTGTCGACTTGAGGGTCCAGTGATGAAGGAAGCACACTGTTCAAATGAGCCATAAAGGACGAGGCTCCATCACCCTGAGGCACTTTATGGAGGAGTCTGGCTTCCAGGACATCTCCCTGAACTCCCTGGATCTGGAACTTCTAGTGGCCAATCACATGCCTCAAGGTGGGCTCCACCCCACACCCACACACTGGGAGGGTAGGTAGGTCAAGTTGGTTAGAGTGAGGTCTTTTCAAGCTTCAGTGAGTTCCAGGATACTCTGAGTTCTCTGGTTTGCTGAGCAGATGGCTGGGTGCTCCCTTGATAGCTTGATCTAGGAGGGTGGGGTGGCACCTGAGAATTGCTTCAGTAACAAGTTCCCAGGTGATGCTGGCAGTGCTGGTCTGGGAGGCACATATTGAAAATCTGAGTTCTAGCAAAAGAATTTGTTGCCCATCACTGTCTGCAGTGTTAGGGGAGGAAGTATATGGTCTCACTTGGGTTTAGCTTGTAGGCTTAATTTAAGAGCCATAGTACGAGATTAGCGTGGGTAGATGTAGGCTTGTTTCCTCTCCTGACTCTTGTCTCTCCCACAAGTGCTTCTATGGCCATTCATCAGCCACTCAACAAATATGTTTTGTAGACCGTGCATGGCAGCCGATGAGGTAGAGTGGTGGATATCAGAGAAGCCAATAGGAAACCACCCTGAAGGGAAGACTGCGGGTATAGACAGGACCCTAAGTCAAGAAGCCCAGGGGAGGAGCAACTTCTTTGAAGGGTAGTGAGTTCCCATTCCTGGAGTCCCTGATCAGGGTATTAGTGGGAATAATATTAGTGGGTGGTCAGTCTAAGTGACTGTTAACATCTTGAAATTCTATGATTGAGAAAAAAAAAGCAATGGTGGACCCTACAATGCATAAAAGGTTACATTCCTAGAGCATACTCCATTTGGTCAAAGTATATTATTCATTTGATATCATGCACAGGGGTGCATCTGTGGAGGGTCCAGGCTGTCTTGTGCAAATACTGAAAGCTGCTCTACTCTGAATAGATGTGCATTCCTCAACAACAGCGTGTGGTGACTAAGTGCATTCATATCCAATGACCCTGTAATTTGTTGCTTATTGACCTTAGATCATTTAAAAGGTTAAATGGAAAAGCCACAAGCAGTCATAGAATATACCTCAGGGGCCTCTTTATGTCCTGCTTCCTAAGTCACATGGAACTCAGATGCAAGGTACCATTTTAGTTGAGAGAGAGAGAGAGAGAGAGAGAGAGAGAGAGAGAGAGAGAGAGAGAGAGAGAGAGAGAGAGAGGGGAGAGAGAAGAGATATTGAATTTATGGTTATTAGGTCACCAACTATTAGTTTCAAACACTTGTCAAGGAAGTCTAACCAAATGCCAGATTCACACAGCATGGTTAGAGGGATCAAAGTTTCTCTTGGGTCCAAACCTTAAGATGTGATAAATAAGACTGGTGTCTCTTGTCCATTACCTACCATTTATTGAACATCTATTATGTTGGACTGGATGAGATTCTTTACAAATACTATTTATGATCTTTTAATTAACCCCCAAAGTAAGTATTATGTTTCCATTTCCAAAGAAAAGACACAGAGAGCTTATGTATTTTGTCCAATTTCACATAGCAAAATTTGCCCATTCATTTTTTGGAAGTTGACATAACTAGAAAATTGAACCCTGATAAAGATAGTTCAAAAATTACAGCTCTACGAGTCTGAGTTCAGGTGCAATATTATCAAGTTGAATCCAGCATGATATCAAATGAATAATATACTCTGACCAAATGGAGTATGCTCTAGGAATGTAAGAATTGTTCAATAACAGGAAATATTAGGAAACCAACCTAATTCAACATATCCACAAACCAAAGAAACACATGTATTAGAGACACTTAAAGGGCAGTTGATAAAACTCTCCTATAATAAGACTCTAAGACAGTAATAATAGGAACTTCTAAAACTTAATAAAGGCTAAAAATTAGCTAGATCCAACTTCATATTCTGCCATTTTAAACTATTGTCCTGGCTATTACTCAAAATGAGTTATGCTACTTAGACGTAGTTTACTTAAAAAAGGGAGAGAGGAGATGGTGCTCTCTACTTTTGCCAAGCCCAGGAGAATATGACAGGAAAAGACAAGCTGTGAGAAGTCCTTATGGCAGAATCAACTGCTCTTCTCATAGAATAAGGGTCACAGCCATTGAATTTGGTGGCCTAGAACTGGGATTTGAACCCAGGTCTGATGCTAAAGGCCTGCTCTTCCTCACTATGAAGGGTCTGTGCTCTCTGGTGCCAGTGATCTGGGAGGAGGGAGAGTCCCTCAGAACCAGCCTATCCTCCAGTGCTCAGCAGAGACTGTCAGGCTTGGCCTGCTTGGGGGGAGAGGAGGATGAGTATCTGGGGGGAGAGGAGGATGAGTATCTGCAGGGGGAGAGGAGGATGAACATGGTGGGGGGAGAGGAGGATGAACATGGTGGGGGGGAGAGGAGGATGAGTATCTGGGGTCACAGTTTCACTGTGAAGACCTTGAAGCCTCTGTTCTTGGCCTGGGGTCTGGGTTGAGTGTGGTGAGGCACAGCTGGTGGTCTGGCCCGAGGTCACTTTGCCTGCCTTTTGCTCTCTATACCCTGAGCATCCAGTGTACTGAGTCACCCCCTTTATTCTCACCTCTAAGATGACATATTAGTGTTACTAGTTGCCTCTTGTCTCAAGCTGTCTCATTTGAGACAGGTCTAGGGTGCCAGAAGCTAATTGGAGCATTGAGGTCACAAGCACTTGGCTGCTGTAGCCATCAGGATGCCTCAGTCTCATTGTGTTTGTGGTGAGAGTAGAGCATATTCTGCTGGCATAAATCATAGGATGGTACATGGAGAATTTGCTACTGTGTACAGAGTCAGCCGCAGAGCAACGGATGGCGCACTGCAGAGGAATCCAGGAGACCTGGGTTCTGGTGGCTCTTTCAAAGTTGTGTTCCCTGTCACTTAGTGCTGCTGGGCCTCATTTACCTCATCGGTGACTGAAGACATTGGACTGGATAGGCTTCCAGTGATAGTTGCAAAGTTACGCTGATAATACCCCCTTCTGTGTGTTCAGTACCATTTGAAGTTCCTCGTTAGGGCTGGGAGTGTGGCTCAGTGACGAAGCACTTGCCTAGCATACCTAGCGCCATAACAAACGCACAATCAAACAGCGCTTGCCTAAGTGCTCTTTGCTGTGTGTCATTAATGAGTTAGTGCTGCTATCATTCCCATCCTGTATCTAAAGCAACGGAGACGCACAGTAGTTCGCTGACTTGCCCAGGGTCTCCCAGGCAGAATGGTAGAGCTTACACAACCCTCAGTGTCTGTGCGCTTGTACCTCCTGCGAACACAAGCCACGTGGTTACAGTGGTGAGGGTCTGAGGGTGGGAGGTACCTTTAAGGGGAAACCTGGCTCTGGTGTGGACAGCTGGGGACTGTTGCCCTGAAGTGTGGGAGAGTGGCCACAGAAGTTACTCACATTGTCCACCGTTTCTTCTCTTTTCCTCTCTAGTCTGTGGCAAACGCTACAAGAACCGGCCGGGGCTCAGCTACCACTACGCTCACACTCACCTGGCCAGCGAGGAGGGAGATGAAGCCCAAGGCCAGGACACCCGGTCCCCGCCCAACCACAGAAATGAGAACCACAGGCGTGAGTCCCTGCTTGTAGTGTTGGGGAGTCAGGGATGGGGTAGGTAGCGCGTGGGCGAGTGATCTTTTCTTTCCACTCTGGTACCTTCTGGCAGTAACAGTTGATGGGGCTTGGTGTTCTGCAGAAAATTGATTCCTAAGCTCAGCCAGCCACCACACCTATGGCTGAGCTGAGCAACCAGCTAAGAGTAAGCAGGTCAGAGCGCATGTGAGCAGCCTTGTCTCCAGATGGAGGTGGGTGTAGATGTCCAGCAGAAGGGGAGTGTCCTCACCTGGCCACTGTCACATGCCAGACCTGTCCATCATTTCCCTCGGCTGCAGAAGAGCCACTCACAGCGGTTGGATTGTCTGTTGTTTTCTGGCTGATATTGCTCTCATTTTCCTGTATGGGTCACTTCTTTGGGTACAGAGCTCTCCCGCCATCTGGATGGATACATCACTTGGGATGACAGTTGGCTCTGAAGACTCAAAGTGATCCTGCAGTTTTGTTTCTATTTTTTCTCTCTTTCCTCAACTTGAAGGTATGTCTAGGAATCAAAAGGGGGCTAGGCATTCTCTACTTGACTGGCTCTCTCCCATCCATTGTGGTTTCTGGAACCATGAGCACAACCCCTGGCTAAGACTTTTGTTTAGTTTCGTGTGTGGTTCTTCCTGGCCTGTGCCCCATGTTCACTGGTCATGCTGCCACAGTGTGCTGTGGCTGGCACAACAAAATACCTCAGGCCAGGAGTCTTAAACTACAGCAATTAATTTCCCATGCTTCTGGAGGCGGGAGAAGCCCGGGTCAAGGCACTGTCAGTGTTGGCTTCCAGATACCCTTCTGGCTGTCCTCAGGTGGTTCTGCCCTGTTCTCTGTGTACACACATGTTCTGGGGTCTCTTCTTATAAGGTCACCAGGAAGACTTGATCAAGACCCTCCCTAATAGCTGCATTGTGTGTGTGTGTGTGCGCGCGCACACGTGTGTGTCTGTCTGTCACACTTGCATGTACTCTCAGTTGGTTTTCACCTTAGTTTTTGAGACCAAGTCTCTCACTGAACATGGAATTGACTAATTTGGCAAGACTAGCTGTGGAGACCTCCAGAGGTCACTTGTCTCTGCCTCACCAGCTCTGGGATTATAGGTGCATGCAACTATTTCCATCTTTGTGCATGGGTGTTGGTGGGGGCATCTAAACTCAGGTCCTTCTGTCTTCATGACAACCACTTTACCAGCTGAGCTGTCTCCCCACTTCCAATGGCCTCACTTAACAAACTCTACCTCTTCATTTACTTTTTCTCCTCCTCTTGCTCTCCTTCTTAGGATTTATTTTCACCTTAAATCATGTGTGTCCGTGTGTATGGGTACATGAGTGCAGTGCTTATGGAGGCCAGAAGAGGGCACCAGATCCCTGAAACTGGATTTACAGGTGGTTGTGAGCTATCCTATGTAAGCTCTGAAAACTGAGCAAGAACAGTGCACTCTCATAACCACTGAGCCATCTCTCCAGCACTTTGATTACTTCTTTATCAATCTCTAGCTTGAATAGAACCAAATGCCAAAGTACTAGAGGTTAAGCTTCAATATAGGAGTTTAGAGTTGGGGAAAATGCATCCTGTGACATTAATTTGTTTCCAACTTCTAGGGTTCAAGCTTTTAATGTGACAGACCCCCGTTTTCTCACCTCCTATTGCCATCTGGGCAGAATCTGGGAAGCAGGGCTGGAGGAGGAGGGTGGCGTCACTCTTTCTGCACCAGATCCTGAGTATCTATGACACCCAGCTCTCTGCCTGCCCTTTGGGAGAGCTTGCCTTTTTTGTCAGTGTAGAAACCTGTCTGTACTGAGGCAGCTGGCAATGCCAATTTCCTTTCTTTCCTCTTTCCTTTCTCTGGTCTAAGTGTCTAGGAAGTCACAGGAGCTGTGACCTCCTACCAGGAAGCGGCTGGAAATGATCTTTGGTTTTAGGTGTTATTTGGAAAGCATAGATTAGTGATTTGTCCTCTCTCCAAAGTGTCTGTTAGCTTTCTTTCTCGCTCCTCCAGTGCTAGCCTATCTCTGGCATCTCCCCAATGCCCGGCCATTTGTTACCGTGTCCCGGCCTCCTATTTTACAGTGCTTTGATGGCTTCTCCTTGGAGCTGTGTTTTCCACACTTCTCCTGTAGTGTCCATAGTGAGCGGTGGTTTTGCACACACGTGTATATATGTGTGTACGTATACAAAGCCTTGGCAACAACAGTAAGCGGAAGGAGACAGTCTCTTCCTCAGCCATTCCTGAGGTCACCTCCAAGTAGACTTTTGTGACCAGCACTGATATATATTCTTTGCTGTCTTTACCAGGATCTCAAAGGTGAAATTACCAGTGGGCATTTGTGTCCTACTTAGGTGTTGTCCCTGAGAGATCACACGGGCTTGCTTAGTAGAGAAACTGTACCTTTTCTTTTCATACACGGAGATACATCCCATGCCTGTCTTCATCACCGTGGGCTTGTGGGCCAGCAACATGCTGCAGCTCCTCCTCATCCTCCTTCCCTTTTCACCCTGCTGATGAGACACAGGCTTCTTCACCAAGCATCATTTGACGGACCATAAAGGAATAGCCATATGTGGGCTAATCCAGATCCTCCTCAGACAAAGACAGTTCCAGAATCCTCAGAAACACCCCTTTATTTTAATAATAATTATTATTTTTGTGGCGTCTTGCCCTAACTTCTTTTCTGCAAACTCCGTGCCCAGCCCCGATTTCACCCACAGGGAAGTGGGCACAGTAGACAAGCTCTTGGTGTCTGGAGAAGCCACCTTCCCTTAGCCCCGGTTTCTCTGCACAAACCCAGTGGCAGCTGCTCGCCCTGGCTTCTGTGGGTCACACACACTACCGATCTGCTTGCTGCTCCGAATGTGTGCTCTGTTTCCTCCCACATGCCCCTGGTGAGCAGGCCCCCGTCACTTTCCTGTGAGCACTAATTGCTGGCATCATTAATACCCAGTCATTAGCTGCTCTCACTGTTTGGGGTTTGGAGTGGGCTCCCATCCACACTGCCCCTAAATGCCACCGGGGCTGCGGGGCTGCGCGGAGAACTGAATGTGACAGCTCAGCAGCATCCCTGAGGGCTCAGCTTCATGGTCCTCCCCCAGCCAGGCTTCCAGATCGAGGGAGGGAGGCGGCAGAGCCTAATCCAGGAGGCTAATCTGCGGCTCCCCCAGGAGAAAGTCTGGATGCTGGCAGGAGGAAATGCTGACGTTCCCTTTAGTAGAGCTGCCGGGTGACCAGGCTGCGGTCACAGGAAAAGGGCCCCACAGATGCAGGAGTATGCAGGCCTGCAGGCAACTGGCTCACACCACCCGCAGCCATTGAGACCTTTTGGCTTCGGTACTCCTGCTGTCCCTTGCTCCATGTCCTTCAATTGTGGCCTCAGCAGAGCCCATGGCTCATCCCCATACCTGCCCCTTTTTAACAGAAAGGGTGGAGTGGCCAGCGGGAGTCAGCACTGACCTTCCCTTTCCCCAGCCCTTGCTGCCCTGAGCTGCCAGCTCAGCAGTCAACTGCAACCCCTGTTGTCCTCCTGCCCCTCCCAGAGGATGCATTCCGCCTTTGTTCCTCTCTCCCACTCTGTTCATTTCTGTGTTTCTTTCCTGTAGACTTGCCTCCTGAGCTCTCTCTGTGTTTGAGTCTCGCTACCTCAATGACAGATGAGTAGCTAGGGATGCTTGGAACTTAGACAGACCTCCCTCCTGAGAAGAGATGACCTTTCTTATGGGGTCTTCCTCCTTTGGGCTACTGTCCTTTCCCCCCAGATGAGGCTGGGTCTTCTTTTCCCCTCAGTTTCTCTTACCACCGTCACCTATATGTAGCTATGCCTAATATAGCTATGGGTATACATGAATACAAGGAGGGATGGCTTGATCAGGACTCTGAGTGTGAGTGACATTCAGTCACTCTCTGCTGTGACTCTTTCAGAGCAAATTTAGTTAGCAAGATTAACATTCAAGATCTCAACAACTCAGGTCCACAAAAAATTTAAAAAAATATTTTAAAATTCCCTTTGCTATCTCTGCACACTGGAATCTACTACAAATGTTGTTTTTTGGGGGTAGGGATGAGATCAAAGTCTTGAATTTAAGCAGAAACACGATGTAAATAAATTTGTGCTGTCCATTCATTCATTTTTGGATTCAACCATCTATCCATGTATCTATCCACCCACCCACCATCCATCCACCCATCCACCCATCCACCCACCCACCCACCCATCCATCCATCCATCCATCCATCCATCCATCCATCCCCCCATCCATTCACACATCTATCTATCCCATGTTTGGTGCCCATGCACCAAGTACCAAGGCTAAGAAGCAGAGGTGTGAATAAGATTTGGCCTCATCTTTGAGGAGCTCAGTGTCTTGGGTGGGTGTGCGTAGTGGATCATGTACAAAGGATGAATTTACCTAAGGCTCAGAGTCACTTTATGTGTTCTATGTCATGTGGCAGGGCTGCTCTGGGTGTGGCACTAGCCTTACTTGCTGACCCACTGGACAAGGAGATTCTCAAACTCCACCAGCAGAGAGTCCCAGGGTAGTAATCAACACGAAAGGGTGTTCTGGTGTGCGCTAAAGCTTAAGGATCACTGCATTGTGAGGTTTTGAAAGCATTCTCTATGGAGGGGTTGTTCAGTTTGGCCCTTGAAAAACAAGGAAGAATGTTCAGGAGGGAGAAACACCAGGTTTCAGAATGGATGCAGGCAAGGAGGCAAGGAGGTCTGCAACAGAATGGCCACATTCATAGAGTTGATAGCAGCCAATCGCATGGTAGTGTTGAAGTCAGGGATGAATGAGACAAGAGTCCACAATTGAAGGCGTCTTCTGTATCATGTTGCAGAGTCTTTATTCTATGGAACCACCAGAGCTACTCCTAGAAGGAAAGAGAGGACTTAAAAAGAAGCCCATTTTATTTAATAACTCTTATTTAAAAGCACAAATAGATGTGTGCTTTCTAACCAAACTTGGTGTTCTTAGAAGGAAATATT